CAAAAGACTATTACTATTATTACTATCAAGAGATATTCTGAAAGACTACTCAATTTTATGTTGTATTAAAATATCGCGACAACTTTGTCAATTTACAAAAGTAACGGAACTTTAGAGCGCGAACTAAAATTTTGTGGCGTTTGAGTTAGTAGGTAAACAACACGATAATAGAAATCCAGAAAATTGTTGATCTGAAATAATGTGAAATGTGAGATTTAAATTCTACGCTGCGTTAGATAAAACGGTAGCGGAGACAGATAACAATATCCTATTTTAATCACAAAACAAAGGCGGATTAGGAACATTAGAAGTTGATACTTAATTAGTAGATAAGTATTAAAAAGTAGGTAATTAGATTTTTTGTAATTTCGTCTTTGAATAGAAGTGATAATGATGAGAATAATTTGCGATTTCAGGTGTATGCCGATCCCAGTGAGCTCGCTTTCCCTGAAGAGGCAAGAGGTAAGATTGATTTAACATTTATCATTGATTCCATTGAAATAACATTGTTATTAGATGCTCCTTCAGGGACACTTTATAAATATGGTGACAATGAATGATGTAATCTAACTTATAAGGTTACTGACTGATCTTAATTTATCATTTTGAACATATTATAATTAAGTAATTTTTTAGCAACCAAATTTATGGAATCACGTTAACAATTGGAGATCAATCAACAATCTATTTCTTCCGAACAGGTGGAGCTCGTATCGTATCAGGATGGGAGGCACAAGAGGGTCAGTTCCCTCACCAGCTCAACATCCGTAATGTGAACCCAGCTGGAGGAGTGACATCATGCGGTGCCACCATCATCCACTCTGAGTGGGCTCTTACTGCCGCTCACTGCACAGCTACGTAAGTATCCTTATTACAGTCATGCTTTTTTACTTCATCTTTGATAGATTATACCAAACCATTTCATAGTTCCCGTAAATCAGGATCAATTGAGATGAATCACGTCCTTCTGTATCCAAAACGGTTTCCATAGCCAGTGCTATTCATTTGCAGGTGATCTGCTTGCTTTTACGATATATTATAGTAGCCTCCCTTATCTAAATTAAGAGTTACTTAAGGTGGACTAACCCCTTGGATGTACTGTAATGACTTATTACATGGTTAGTGAAAACCAAAATGTCTTTAAGTATCTATCTTAGCTAAAATCATCAAAGGAACCTTTCCTTAAAGAGAGAGTCTTACTTTCGGTCTAGACCTACAACGAAACGAAAAGAAAGAAGATAATTATTATTACTAGAAGTACTATCTGACTTCGTGTTGCCTCAAAATTATTATCTAAGCTTTTAAACCTTGCCTGGACTTCAGGACATTTCAAGACCATAATTAGCAAAATCGGTTTAGCCGTTCTCGAGTTTAAACTGTCAAACACCAAGCGGTCACCGGTGACCGCAACCTATTGTTCTATAATTGTGTCTACAAAACCGGTACTCGACAAGTTAAGCGAGACTGACGAACGGAAATTCATTTTGATTTATATATAGATTGGAAGAGAAGAAACAGTTTCTTCTTCCTTTGACTTTTTTCCTTGACCTAAGTCTGTCATTAAGTATTTTGTTTCGTACAACTTCAGACCACTAACTTATAATGTAATAGGTATTTACATACTTTGTGTTTTGGTTTGATCCGTCTCCTTTTAATATCTTATCAGTACTGAGTATTATTTTGTCTAGCTCATTACTTTATCGTATTACACATCAACGTTTTTTGTATTGGGAAAACCGACAATGGATTCTAACAATACAGTAAAGTACACTATCGTATGGACGATTATGTTTATCCTTCTCACGTAGAAAACCATTCTGATTCACATTGTTTCATAAATCGTTTTTGTTATCTACTGCAGCCGCGTGACCATTGTCGTTCGTGCTGGTGTCGTCAACTTGACTCGCCCAGCCTTTATCTTCGAGACTACCAAGTACTACAACCACCCTCTGTACATCGAAGCTCTTCAGTCTATCGTACAACCGAACGATATCGGTCTTATCGAGCTCGGCAGATCTATTGAATTCAACGGTTAGTATCGTAAATACATTGTCTTTTGTGTTAGTTGCATTACATTCTATTACATTATTTATTTATTTATTTATATATGCTTTATTGTACACATTTATGTAGTTTAAAACAAACAATTTAAAAAAAAAAAAATCTTTAAACCCAATTCAAGTAAATATGCGTACAATGGGCGGTCTTATCACACAATGGTGATTTCTTCCAGACAACCTTTGGATGGAAATATTTGTAAGAAACCAGATAAGGGGTAGTTACGTGTACAATAATAAAAAAAAAAAGACAAAATAAAAAAGCCTACAATACAACCTACAATAGATATAATATACTAGCAACATATAAAAAGAAATACATAAATAATATACAAAAATACAATAAGCTATGTGTGTGTGTTTGTGTATGTGTGTGTGCGTGTGTGTGTGTGTGTGTGTGTATTTGTATGCGTGTGTATGTACAATTAATGAAAGGAGAAACAGAAGCTTATAGTGTGAGAAAGTGCTCCTTCACAAGGTGTTTAAACTGACGCAAAGTCCGGGCACGCCTCACCTCGATAGGCAATTCATTCCACAATCGAGCCGCTTGAACCGTATAAGATTTATCGAAGAAGGAAGAGGAATGTATAGGTATACTTAATTTAAGATTCTCCGACGATCTCAGAGACCTCGAATGTGTGTCACCGAGAAACTGAAAACGCTCTTTTAAGTAAAATGGGGTAGAAGGGTTGAAAAGAATATTGTACAGTAAAGAAAGAATATGAGAGTTCCGGCGAAATCGAATAGGAAGCCATTTGAGCTTATTACGGAATTCAGTGACATGATCATATTTACGAAGACCAAATATGAATCTGATGGAAAGATTTTGAAGTCGCTCAAGCTTGTCCAATTGTTCCTGTGACAGATCAAGATTTATTTTAGGTTCAAGATCAAAATTGTATTTATTAGACTTATAATAACGAGAGATTATTCCATTTTAAATAATATATTTTTAAATATTTCTTTGAAGAATGAAGAACTTTATGTTGATGACCTTTTACCCTTATTAATGTTAATATATAATTTTGAAATTGTTTTATTACAGACTTTGTCAAGCCCATCAGGATCCAACGTTCTTCCGCGAGCAACACTAACTACGGTGGTACCAGAGCCATCGCCAGCGGTTGGGGACGCACTTGGACTAACGGTACAATACATATTAATCAATTGGCTTTAAATTCGCATAATTTTTAATTACTTTTGTTATTTGATAGTTAGCGATCATTTTTATATAAATTACTTTTTTCGTTTGATGGCCAATAAATGCTAACATTTTCAACTTTTCATCCACAGGAAACTCTCCCGAGAACCTAAACTGGGTCTACCTCTCCATCGTTACTAACTTACAGTGCTCGGTAGCTTTCGGAGGCAGCTGGATCATCCAAGACTCTACCATTTGCGCCGGTGGTTACAATGTGACCAGTCAGTCTACTTGCCAGGTTCGTTAATAAAAAGGGTTATTTACAGAATATTGCATATACATCAAAAGCCTGTGAGTGCCCACTACTGGACCTGACACCTCTTCTCACACGAAGAAGGTTTTAATCACCACGCTTGCTCAATGTAGTTTGGCACTGTCTGCTGATGACTATCATGGGTTCACAATTAATTTCCTGGCCTGTTCTATAAGCGTCTTCAAGTTATGAGGCTTTGCCATAACCTCTATATGGCCATTTGCTTGTTAGAGGGTTTGGAGACCGTAGTTTAGTTCTAGTTTATCTGATAACACTTCTGCCCCGATCTCTGTCAAATGTGAAGTCAGAAAATAATGTTATTTTGTTTTTGTCCAGGGTGACAGCGGTGGTCCCTTGACCATCATTGATGACGATGGCGGACTCACCCAGGTCGGAGTTACCTCCTTTGTATCTGGGTCTGGATGCCACACCGACTTCCCAGCTGGTAAGTTGGCCAACCTTGTATTTGATATGAAATTAACTATTATGTACCTTATTGTGATAAAAAATTGAAATTTTATAACGAGTGTTTGAGAATTCATGTTTTTTTGTTTGTTTAGGTTTCATCCGCCCTGGCTTCTACCACGCCTGGTTCACTCAGGTTACCGGCATCAACTTCGACTGGGAGTGGTCAAATACTACTCAGCCGCCAATTAACGTCACCACTACTCAACTGCCACCTAACATCACCACTACCGAACTGCCACCTAATATTACCACCACGGTATTGCCACCCAATATCACCACCACGGTATTGCCACCCAATATCACCACCACGGTATTGCCACCTAACATCACTACTACCGAGCCACCGTCTAACGTGACCACCACCACCGCAGCTCCAGACTCTTCAGAATCTTCGGAATCTTCAGAATCTTCGGATTCATCTGATTCTAGTTCATCAAGTTCTAGTTCTTCCTCGTCTAGCTCGTCATCCAGCTCGTCATCCAGCTCGTCATCTAGCTCATCCTCTAGCTCGTCATCCAGCTCATCATCATCTTCTTCCTCTAGTTCATCCAGCTCTTCAAGCTCTTCCTCCTCGTCGGAATCTTCTGATTAAACTCCAAGATGCTCTACTTCAATAGCTCAATTCTAATCAATACCATCATACCTGCCTAAAAAAAGGTCTGCTAATAAATAATTGATGTAAACAATATCTGTAATTACCAACACACGCTGTGAAATGATTCTCTTCTGTACACGGAAAATTAAAATTTGAAAAAATTAATGGACTGGTTTGAAATTTAGATTTAAGTTGTTTTAATTTCCTTATTAGACGCTACTCAGGTGATATTATTATGGTGTTTTTGATAAGCCGAGTTTTAGCAACTGCTAAGGCCCGGCGTCCATTATCGGCATCGGCACGTCTCAGAATTTTAGGTGGCAAATAGCAATATACATTAACATAATGGCAATAAAGTAGAAATTGCTGTGCATATGGTCGTAATAACAAAAATACCGCTTCGATATGCTTGAGGCTGCTGTAGCCCTGAGAATTCTTCGGGATGCTACGGCATCCTTCGGCCGCCGGCCGCCGGCTTCATTGATTAGATTTCTCTTGTTCTTGAGCAAGAGCTGCTATGAGCACTAGATCCCAGTCCACCATATTAAATACAACTCAGACAACTAGCTTGTACAACTCTAAGACTGTTATGATGAGAAATACGATATTGAGACGCCTCGGCATGCTTCAGGACGGTGCGGCATGCTTCAGGACGCCTCGTCATCCCTAAGAACGTGCCAACATGCTAAAGCATAGTTTCCGACAGTGTGCCCTTGCATGTAAGATGCCGAAGGATCCTTTTTCTTGCCGATGCCGGGTGGGAGCCGGGCCATTGGAATAATAGTTACTTAGCATTGACCTAAAAACTACCGTACTTAAGGCGACTAGTGTCTCGCCTACAATAATATAAATAATGTTATTGTTACCCAGATTCATATTTAGTGGTGTATAAGTAAATACTCTTACATAAGTGTGTTTATTCAATTAAGAAATTCTGTTTACATACGTAAAATATAGGACATTGGACCTTTTGGAAACTTAAGATTTTCCAGAAGTCGATAACAATGGATAGTTTGGTGCTACTGACATTTGTACCTTTCCTCTCTATAAATCCCACTTAGGTACCTATATTTATTTAATGCGAAAGGTTGTGAGGACATACAAGTACCTATACCTCGTTATACAATTGTGGCGACACATGTCATACGTCATATATATCGATGAAAACAAATAAACGGATGACGTCACAAAATTTCTACATCGCACAAGTAAAATTTACACGCGAATTTACACGAATAGAAAATCCCAAACGAACAACTGTTGGGCAGAAAGCCCGCTAGTCACGAACACCTCGTCTGGTTGGAGGATCCTCCTTTACCGATCTTAGGATCTGAATGCATACAATTAGATTTTAGATTGGAATGACATAGGTTAAAAAACATACATAACATCATGCCTTTTATCCCTAAAGGGGTAGGCAGAGGTGAAGGCAGAGGGATAGGCAACTTAAGGTGCAAGTAAATAAGGTAAACTCACAGGGTGCTAGCATATCTATGGGTGTACCGCAGGGCTCAATACTAGGCCCTTTCCTATTTTTGGCTTATATAAATGACTTGCCGCATTTATTCCGGAATGAACCACAGATGGTATTATTTGCTGAAGACACATCACTGGTTTTTAAAATAAATAGACGTACAAATAATTATGACGATGTAAATAGTGCTCTGATGAAGGTTCAAAACTGGTTTACAATAAATAATTTAGTGCTGAATGATAAAAAGACAAAATGCATTAGATTTGTTTTGCCAAACGTTAAAAATAACGAATGTGACATATTACTGAATAGTGAGAAATTGGAATTTGTAAAAGAGACTATTTTCCTGGG